AGGTCGCACTGGCGTGCAGTGTGCGTTAATACTTTTGGAACACGTGCATTTCGTATGCAAGTTAAAATGGGTTTTGTTTGTGTTCTAGATGGGCAGTATGTGGAACTTAAAACAACATCCCTCATGAATGAATGGAAAACGAGCAATAGATGTGCGGGATTATTGGGGTCTCATTGGATACAGTCGTATTTGTCCGGGATTCAGAAAATATATGTGGGGCGGCGAAGTCGAGAAGGTAAATTACTGCACCTATATACTCTTAATTTACTGTGTTTCGCGAAATTTCCTCCAAATACATGCGGCATGCACGAAGGGCTGCACGAGCAGTCGTTTTTTTATGCGAGATACATTTTTTGTAAAAACAGTCATGCTGCTCAGCGGATTCTGTTATTGTAATTATGCTTGTGTGTCAATTCTGTCGTGTATTGTACTTAGAAAAATTCCTATTTTCGGCAGCTGTCAGGGTTTTATGCGTCTTTGCGGTGCCGGTGCTGTTCTGCTACAAAAATGAGCAAACAAAAATTAGCAACCAAGTAAGCCTAGATGCCGAAGTTTTGTCTGCATGTTGTTTGGTCAAGTGCAACTCCAGAAATACGGTATCGACTTTCGTGCACGTATACGAACAAATGAAATTTTTGACGAGGGAATTACAAACTGGTAAGCCAGAAAGGCTACGAGATTGGACGTTTTAGGTCATGTTTTCACCTATCTGTGACTGTTTCGTTCTAATTTTATCATTCACCTATGTCTGACGTTGGTCGTCTAAAAAACATGTAAATTCTGGCAGAAATCGATTTCAGGAACCAAAGAAGATAGAAGAAATAGTAGAGTGGAAGGATTGGTAAAAGTCATTGTTTGGGTTTTAAGTGTTAGTAATCACTGGAAGGCTTTCAGAGTTTTGGTTGTAGGTCGCATGACTTAGTAACAGACAAATTTGTTGCGTAGCTGGGTGTTTGACATGGATGTTGAAGTGTAAAAGAAGCAGGAATATCTGAAGTTTTCAAATGTTCCATGTCTGATGTCTTTCCTGCTTTGTGACCTGAGGCCAATTCTTAATGTACAGTAAGCAGCATTGAGATGGAAGAGCAGTTTTTCAGGCCTTACCATTTTGCAGGGATTGTCGAAGCGATCGAAACACTGCGTGTCGATGAACTGCCTGCCCTC